ACTGCAGCCGGAAGTATGCACCCACCGTGAGAGACAGAAAAGGACTTCCTTCCAGAACGGCCAACTTTCCACAGAGAAGTCACTAAGTGCACATATTGAATCAACAAACCTAATATCATGTGAAAACAAATTTCCAAACATATATATTGTATTCACTGCCATTTATAATTGACTGTAGTCGTGTACTTTTAATAGCACTCGAAAGTCAGCTGGTGGCAGTCGCTCGGTGACGAGGCGCGCGCCCCTGGCTGTGCAGCTGAAGGTCCCCGCGTTGAGCCAAAGAGGAAATGCGGTGGCCTAATAGAGCCAACAGCGTCACAGTACAAGTCCTCCCAGCACCAGACGCACGACAGGGCTCTTCTTGATTCACAAGGATCTCGTATGCTCGGTATTAATGCAACATCTTGAATCTTCAATGTCATGGGAACGAAAATAAATAATCCTAACATTTTAAATATTGTTGAATGTTATCTGAGGTTGTGCAGCCATGTAGCCTAAGCACGAGCAGCCAGCTATGGCTTAGACGCTCTATCACGTTCGTTTATTAAAAGTTGGTGAGGAGGCTCATTGAACAAAGCATAAAGAACCATTTGTCACTCATTATGATAGTCTTAGAGTCATTTTCGAACTTTACCAATAAGGGACCGAAAAATTAAGAAAACGTGGGAAAAAATGTATTGTTTTCTGGTAAAACACAATTCTCTCAATATACATATTGCATGGCAAAAAACAAATAGATTGTGACTGAGACGTATTAAGTATATTTTATTCTACAGCATTATTTGCAGAGTTATTAAATGATGGGGAATTTGTTCAATACTAGTGCGGCATTGATATACCTTAATGCTGTAGTAATCTTGTTTCCATTGTTTATATGGAACAGAATTGTGTCAAAATTATTGACATATATAGATTGAAAGATGCAATCCCCATTAAAGATCGCGCATACCTAACAAGGTTATTTTTATTAGAAATTTCAGTTGAATTGTTTCATAACCGTAACACCTTTAACGGTGAAGTTAGTCAACCTCATGAGACAGAGGCTTGGGGCATGTGAGTCCAAGTACATGGTCGTGGACACTGAGTCTGTGGGCTGGAGCCGAGGGTTCGAAACCCGCGTATATTCTGTGTTCTTGGGGGAGGGAGCAGATTGGGAGTCGCTCGTGTAATACACTTATACCCGAATTATTCCATAATCCCTTGGCCGGGCAGTGTGAGAAATTATGTGCAATTTGTGTAATTGAGGAAATGCACGTACACGAGATTTTAAAAAAAGGTCGAAATAAAAGGCTAGTTTTAAGCATCTAGGACAAAGTTTCTCTGTTATGATCAATGGTTGCATAATTATGTTGCGCGTAACGTGAGTAACGAATTGCGTAGTGCGAAGTTTTCTTCCTAGCACAATCCATACAATTTCTTTTTCGCCTTAAATCTCTTTCATGCACCCTTTGGTGGGGGTAGGGCGAAGGTAATTATGTAGAACATTTACAGAGTTTAATATTGATAACCTCTTTTAAGTAGTACCAAACCGACATTTCCTATGCGCATTGTAGTAGGTTCATAATACTGTAACGTCGAATCTATATTATTCCCTTATTTAGGCGTCGTAGGAGAATACTAATAAATTAACTTTTACTGATGCTTTATAGCTTGTTATTTGGGAGTTTGTGCACGCTATAGCGGACAACGCCATCGCCCTTCTGCACATGCGCAGATACACGAAAGTGACGCAAAACTTTAACTGCACATGCGTAGATGATCGATAGCGCTTTAGCGTTTGAAGGTGCACAAACTCCATAATGCCTTCGATACGGAGTGCGATATACACTGCATAACTTACCCGCGTCGACTGGACCGTAGTTATGAGGGAAATATAAAAACAGTTGAATGACGCTACATGTTTCCTCACGGAGGGAATTATGACGAGAAAATACGAAAGCGAGTCAAGTTAACATCTAGTTAATTAGTGAGTAAGTAAATCGGAATAAATAAAATTGTGTATGTACCACGGGCGTTAACTGGTCCTAATGACCTAGGGTAACAACGCCCTCGGGCTAATAAAAATATCAATTAAAAAACTGGGGCTTCGGCACATACTCACGCGTTATTTGAAACGGATACGGAGTAATACAATACTGCATATGGTTTACTATTTTTTTGCTTTCTCTTGAACAACCTTTATCAAATAAGTTCGGGAACCTCGATTTTGCAAATTCTGAAATTCAGCATTTTAAGGAAAAATTGGACCTGACGTATTCTAAATCGTACATTGTTATTTTCGAGAGAGGGAATGTAAAGAAAGTAGTGGGAATTCGCTGCATACTCAAACACTTCCGCGCCCCCTTCTTAGTGTTATTTTCCGATATTAACTGAGATTTAAAACAAGTGGTGGTAGCAGAGCACGCACTTTCTCGGCGGTTCTTTCACGCAAAACTACGGGAAAAGTACTCAAATTTTCGAAAAATTGTAAATTAACTTATTTCAAAATCTATCTTTAAGGAACAGATTTCATTAAAACAAAAGTCTCCATCTAATATTTTAGTGATAGGAAGGCACCGAAAAAAAATTGAATTTTTGTGATTTCAAAAAAATTAGTTTCCCACAAAAATAAGACCTGCACTATTTGCTTAAATGTCATCCACAGCATTCAAAAACAAAATTTGCCCCATGGATTTCACGTATAGTACTCCCTAGAATTAAAATATCGACTTCAAAATCAGGGGATCGGGACATTAGCCAGGTCGATTGGGGAATATCCATCTTGGAGAAAAATCGGCTGAACGGTTTTGCCGTTAGCGTCGTTCACAAACGAACAGACGTTTTGCTGGTAATCGATTTTTCGGAATCGAATACCTACAAAACATGGATTTTGGCTACACTACGTGTTAGAGGCTTTTTGCCTAAATTTTGCATCTGCAGTTATCTACTTCCAAGGCCCTGTAATAAAAGAGTTTTTCTGCCGGAAATTCACTGTTTTTTCGCGCATTACAGAATCTTCTCTCTACCACTTAACCGGTAGAGAGAAAGTAAAACGTCTACTTAGTATCATTAATATAAAAAAATAAGAACAGATTGAAAAGACGCGGGTATCTTCATGCTGGCCGAAAGAAAACTTAGGTACAATTAATTTCCTTTCATTGAGCTCAAATATGATCGCAAATACTGGCAAGTGGTCCATTGGAACACACTAAGAAGTTGGAGACTTGTCTACGTTCCCGGTACGAGTCGTACTGTCATTATTCGAGTTAGTATACTTAAGAAACTAGTGGCGTGTTGGTTAAATCAATTGGTTTCGACTTCCCTTTCAGTTCACATTAAATAATACTCCGCGTATCCATATATTTTACAGAGGACATTCGATTGGAGTACAAATACTTTTTTCCATGACTTGATATTTGGCGGAACGCAACGGAACCGCTTTACGTATTTCAGAAATAATTATTAAATTATATCATATATATATATATATATATATATATATATATATATTTATAATATAATATATATATATATATCTATTAAATTAATACAGTAAAACCCGTCTAAAATGAAACCCGTCTGTAAGACGGAAACCTGCCATCCCGGAAATAATCACAAACGGAACGATTTTGTATGTGAAAATCAGTGGCGGCGCGGCAGGGAGGCGCTAGGCACACTGCGCCCCCCTACTGAGATCAGTATTTCTTCTCTTGCGCTGTCTAAAATAATCTCTGTGGTCTGTAGGGTTTTTTCGAATCGAAAGCATCTTTAGCTTTCAAACTCCCGCTTGTTCCGTAGAACGATTTTCATTGACTCGCCTCTGTGTCTAAACGCAGTGTTGTTATGGAACGTACTGACAAAGTGCTCGAATGGCAACGTAGGATGGCAAATGGCGTCTTGTGACGGCCGCCGCCCAGCAGCCTGACAGGGGAGGGCAACCTCGTTCCCGCGCTATCTATTGATCATTTTTTAAACTTCCAATATTCTTTTCGCTTGATTTACGTCTAGGCCAGTGCTATCTGCTGGTATTCTGTTTAACTGATCTCCCTTTTCGCAGCATTCCGTGCAGGCAGTAATGTGCAATCGTGTGCAATCAGCATGGTCGGCATCATCTTTCATCCGTAGACAACTATGTGAATGCTATGTTCTGATCTTCGCGTCCAGTTGCGTATTGTGCATTGAGATTGAGAATGGTTTGCAATTCTGTAAAATGCCTGAAAAAGTCGATGTAGTTATGACACAAGGCTGTGCATGAAGAGATTGGACACCTCGGCCTGATATAAAATTTTACAATCTGAAGAATTGCAATCGTTCTTTTGTACGAGAATTTCAAAGGGTAAATGACCATATTATTTTTAGGGGATTTATCCATGTGTTCTCTCTTTGATTGTAAAACGTTCCAACAATATCAAGAAAAATTCCCCCTACAAAGGGTTGATCGCGTTTCACAGTTCTCCCCGTTCGTGAGCCAGCAAACTGAAATCAGAGCTGGATGTGATATATAAAAGAATCCGAGAGAGCTTTTTCCACTTTGAAAGGATTATAGACATTTTTAGGAAATACCATGTCGGAAGAGAGATTGAATGGACTTAGTATGTTTTCATTATAAAGAGTCTTGTTACGAAACTCATTTAATTTTAAATAATTAGTAATAGATTTACAGGATGTAAAAACAGAAGGCTCAATTTAATTTATAGATGTGTTTACCCTGACTTCCGGGGAGAAAATTCGATTGTAAATTTTACTTATGTGACTTAAACAATCCAAATATAACAATATTTCAAATGCCTAACTTTATATGATCCTGTAACTTTGTGTGCCCTCCCTGATACCTAATCCCAGAGCCACCACTGGTGAAAATGACCACTATAGGCCGGAAACCTAACACGAAAACGGAATGGTTTTTCAGAGAACAAGAAGTGATTATTACGCGGCTACGAAATACATTTATTTTTCAATTTCCGCAACTATCTTTGCAATGGCATAGTGTGAAGCGTCACGTCCTGAAACAAATTTAGTCACGCGTCTGTCCTCCTATGCTTGCCGAATCTTTGGCGAAGTTCTCAAGCTTTGGTGTTATTTTCAAGGTCGCAAGCCGACGTCGTCGCTATTGCTCTGAATGTTGGTCGAGCGCACCGCAATCAATTCTCCGGCGACGGAGTTCCGGAAAGGCCGTCTCGTCGTGCCATGTTTTGTTCTGCTCCAATATTTCCCCTTGGTTTGTAGTTGATTTTTCTTTTGTAAATCCCTGCAATATTTTCTTTGATAAATTATGTTTTATTTTTATTATTTTCTTTCACAAAAAATTACATTGAAAATACTGTACTTAAATCATACGGAGAATTTTTGGCAACCTTCTAAAAGACTGTACTGTAATTGATTTAGGGCGCGTTGCAGGAACAACAATTTTATATCCCAAGCAGTGCATTCGTCAATGATTGTAAAAAAATGAGTGATTCCACACTTACTCAAGAGTACATTAAGGAAGTGTATGTTCGTTCGATCTACCACGGTGAAATACCCCGAAAATTCTTAAATAAAGTCTGTGTTCAAGGTGGTAAGGAAAAATAAATTTATATTAGAAGAGGTTTCTATTGAAAAACTGTCACGGGAAATATTTTCAAAATTTTCTCTTGGCATAGGTTCGTTCTTCAGTGATTACTCTGAATTTTTGAAAATTGCAAAAGTTTAATTTTTTTCAGCATCTCTTTACATCCACAACAATGAAGGCAAAAGATTTTGTATTCATGTGATATTTGTTCTTGACTACTAGTTCTTTCATTAACATCATGCACTTTTTTTGTGTGTGTGTGTGTGTGGGGGGGTTCAATATCAAGTGAAATACGTTAAATATATAAAAAATGTAACATTTCTTAAAAGCAGCTCCAAATTTTCTCTTTAAACTTTTGCTAGGAATAGTGCTAAATGTGCAGTATCAGATGACATATTGCTGTATCTTTATTATTAAAAAATTACAAAAGTGCTATTTTCTCGACATCTCTCATGTTAACATTTATTTAAACAATGATTTGTTTACATTATAGCATTTGTGAGTACAAGTCTTCAAATGTGATCTGACAAAGCTTCTCAAAAACTCAATTTTTTTCTGTGAAAAGGAGCTCGAAATTCCAGTTTTAAAAGCGCTCAAAAGCCATTTTCTCAGAAACTGCTTCACTTTTTCCTTAAATTTTGTACTGGAGACAGCTAATAGATTGAATATCATGTCATAAATGCTACCACACACAGTCACAAATGCAATTTTTTTTTTTTTATCTATCACATCATGAATTTATATTATTTATTATTATTATATATTTTTTCAACAATAATTTCCATAAAGAATGTGGTTTTACACTTCTATAATATTCTTAAAGTCATGTGTCAGTTCTGCCATTAGGAGACCAAAAAATTGAGCAAATGTTAAAGAGTGTACTTTGCCCAGCAGCAGATGGCAGCTGGGAAGTGGGGGAGGCAAAACGGACAAGCCAGCCCAGACCAAAGAAATTAGAAAATGACTCTAACAAGAAAGTCTGTAACATTCTGTACCACCACTAGTCTATTTTCACTGCTTCACTTATTGTCCTCAACACGCATCCCCTAGTGCCTGTTATTTATATAACCACCTCCATTTGACAACAAATAGAACAGTTGATGAAATCATGAAGGCAAGAAATCCCATTACTCATGATTTGTAATACAAACATTTTTATACTATAATAGAAAATAGCTATTTATAATACAAGTGGTAAAAGTGGTGACCTTTTACATTGAGACTAGGAAAGGTAGCAACATGAGGGAAACAGGATGAGTGGCGAGAGAAGTAATCCTACAAGCAAAATAAAATCAAATTTACCAAATGTCATACACTATTTTTTACAGAGCCTTACTGACTTTTTCTTCTTTTTGGTTATTTTTGCCCTACCGGAGAGATGAAATAATTTTGTTTTCTTTGTTGCATTCACAAATATATCAGAATACTTGAGCATCATCTCACTTTTAGTACACTAGGCTCTCCCTGAAAGAACCTTTTAGTAGTGGCCATCTAAAAAAAATTATTTAAATTTCATGAGCAAAATGATTTTTTTATTTACCATCCCCATTGTCTTTTGTCTCAACAAAAGAAACAAAAATAATCTCGAAAGTGCAAACAACCTTCTGCCAACCAACATGCTCTTAATATAAAAATTTTTCTCAATCAGCCAATGAAAGGAAGTATCATATTTGGGCAACCATATGCATATTCTCAAAGTTCTATCTAGTGTTTGCCTGCAAATACCTACTAGTTCCATATTAATTGACACATTCTTCTGTTTTCCCCAAAATATATTGAGATTTCCTTAAATGAACTCAGAGCTGTTTTGGGTACTACCTTATATTAATTAATTGATTTTGAAAGAGACAGTATATCTCAATTCCCAGTTAGCTGATATAATTACATTTTCATATCACTAAGAACAGGCCTCATTTATTCAAGCATTTACTGTGCACTAGACATACTACTTTTGTGAACAGTACTCTGCATAGAGTGAGGTAGGAATATTACAAATTATCCCATTTTAAAAACGATGTAAGGTTTTTGTTGTACATATTGTTATAATAAATATCAATTTTTCAAGAAATGTCAAAATATGTATTAAAGTACAACCCACTTTTAAGAACAATACGTACTGTCCCGAATCCCATTGTATAAATAATGGGCAATTTCTCCTTGCATATATGAGACCAACTTATGAATTTTGTGCATTTTATAATAGACAATACTTGGCTTCGAAGAATTTCCCTATCTCCCAATTAAAACAGTTTATTTTCTCACACGGCAAGCCAGGTGACACATTGGCTTTAGTCTCAAACTTCCTTGACAGAGGTTGCAAAAAGGATTCTTGTTCACGGAAATACCCATCCAGGAAACAACTCAGCCCAACTAAGAAATGGGAGTCTGCTGCCACTTTCTGTAATCAATTAGTGGTAGGCTGAAAGGCATGTGGTCTCTCTTAACAGCTCTTTCTTGTTAATATTCTCATTGTTTTCAGACAAGCAGAAACAGTGTGAGTTTGCAGTATTTGACAAGGAATAACGCCCATCATCTTAACACGTGTGTACTTGTGGGTTCATCCACACAAGCGTACTTGCATGCTTTCTACCAATGCAGTAAAACTGGTTTTCATTGGCCAGTGAACTGGGCTCTCTACGCAGAAGGTGTTTCAGTTTAGAGACAATTCCCTTTACGATGGCTTGCAAAATGAAGTTAATGTCAGTACCAGAAAAGACTGACATCATACATACAGACAAAACAATAAAAATGAAAGATAACCTTAGGTGAAAATATAATAAACTTATTGTAGCATTCCTCGCTTGTAATAGTAGCTTTTCATATAAGATAAAAACAATATGCCTTAGCGCTGGGTCCAACTGGCAGCCACTTGTGATGACCAACTGTGTCTGTTACTGTGGGCTGCAAAAGGTCAAATGTTAAAGGCCCTTGCATCCATGTCTCGCAAGAACATTGCGTGCCTAGACCATGCACCCTGTTCGGGTCAACACCCCCTTAATATAAAAATAGGTTAAGTTTAGATTAATTTTTTTTCTTCTAGAAGATGTATAAATTCTACATTATCAGTGTTTCATTGAGTCATACACAATCAGTTCCATCTACCTTCCCATTTCAGATCTGCCAAACAAACTGCCAAAATCAACAATGAGGGATCATGTGTGGATCACCCAAGCAATGAAAATACAGCCCACAACCGTATAAGAGGTTTTAGCCGGTTTTAATTGTGGTCCTTGAGGCTTTGCTAGTTGGGCACCCCTGCTTTAGTGGTCCTTAGAAAGGTCTACCATACCACCATTTACGTGGTGATCAAAGGTAACCATAAACGTTAATACTCAAAATCTGAAAAGTGAGTACACATACAATGAAATATCTATTGGGAATGGAAAATTAATGGGAATTCTTTAGTCAATATTATTTGATTGTATCAACTCAATATTTTAAAAATTTATCATTGTTTAAAAATACAAACTTGGAAAATGTTAGTTTAATAGATAATTAAGTTCTGCATAATCTGTTTGATTGATTCCAAATTTCTTAAAGATGACACATTTTTTATAGTTCTGGTAAATTTCTCTGAGAATTCTTGAAACCTTTCTTCCTGCTTTCTTGAGTTCAGAGTTTTACACTTGCTTCCAAATAATCTTCATTGAACATTTTAATGGAAGACTAATTGCTTTAAAATTACATACCAGTAGTTTCCAAATATGCACATCTAATAATTTGTATCAACTTATACTACAGCATTCAATCAAATGATTCTTGATAAAGACAATATCACTTTTTCCACAACATCCATCTTATAAATACATGGTTGCACATAATATTATGTACACTTGTTCACAGCATCTCAATATTTCAAGCTTCATATTCACCATTCACTTTGGTTTTGTTTCTTGGTCTGATACATATCTGATAAACACATTATCTTCAGGAACATTTTCTGGAGGGATTTCCTGTTCATACATATATGAACATGCTATTGCAAGGACAGTACCTGTGAACAAAATAATTGATGACACCTCACCACACCCACCAAACAGCATTGCATCCTTATAAGTATTATTCAATTTCAAAAATTGCTTTATAATAGTTCGTATGTAAGTCGTTCAATTTTTATAATCAAGAATCTTATTTCAAACAACACACCCAAAAAATGTAACTTACACTAATTAGGAATACCTTTTCATCATGTACAATAAAATTCTGTGACAATCACTTTGATCAAAATTCAAATCCAAATATAGTAGAAAATTACAAGTTCATATAAAATTAAATATTATGCAGTGACTAATCTGGCTGTGAAATATTTGTCAAGGAATAGAACAGCCTTCTTCTATTTTAGTACAATAATGCTGCAGGAGAACCAAGATAGTAAGAGCAAAAACTAATGCAATAATTTGAAACATAGAAACAAATAAAAAAGATTGTTCAAATGTTAGGTTCAGAACTTAGAAGATTACTTAATAAAATGTTTGAATGATTTATGATTCAAAATTGTGATAAGCCAGAAATTCCCTGTTTTATTTAACATAATTGGCAGCAAGATATTTGTAAATAGCATGTCAACATACTATGTAATTAATGCATACAGAATGAGAACTAAGTCAAAGAATAAAGGTTGTCAGGGCGACCAATAAATAAATTATGTTTTGTGGACATGAGATAGTATATGCCGGAAGGAGAAGTAGGAGCACGGCTCTAGAAATGAAAGTCCATGTGGGAGGTGTTGTCTTGTGAAGTTTTGAGTATTCATACTATCTTTCGTGAGTGGTCATCGAGGTCACATCAGCTGAATGGTACAATTATCATCAGTTAGGATTGGGATTATTATTTCAATCAGAGAGAAGTGGGTAACACAAAATTGTTTTTAATATTTTTTAGAGTTTGAAATTTTATCAATCTAAAGATGTCAAAAATATTTTTGAATGTTAAGTAAAATTTCAAATAGACTTGGACCTAAGGGACTCGGAACAAAATTTATGAAGAAAAACAATATTTGATGTGTCTTGAATTCAACAATTCGTGTTGAACATTGTCAGTCACGAATAGGTATCTATACATGGTACAGCAAGGGAAGGTAGAGAACTCATGGTAATTTGGTAATTTCACTGTAATTTTTTTATCGAACCGATAAGGAACTGACCAAATCCTGGGTGACATTTTTAATCTGAATTTGACATTGAGAGAGAATACGGTAGGAGAGACAGCAACATTTTCAGCAAATAGTCAGCATCAATAGAGATGTTCGGATAGATGCTCAAATCGGAGGACAATTGGGAAATCACTAAGGCAAAGATCATAGTAAGCCATGAACAACGATTTTTGACCTGTACAGGAGGATAATTATGATATACAAAAAAAAAAGAAAAAGAAGAAGAAGAAAAAGAAAAAGAAGAAGAAGAAAAAGAAGAAAAAGAAGAAGAAGAAAAAGAAGAAGAAAAAGAAGAAGAAGAAGAAGAAGAAGAAGAAGAAGAAAAAAGAAGAAGAAAAAAATTGAATATTAATATTAATTCATGCCATATTAAATTCAATGAATGAGCTAATTTGAAAGGTCGAAACCAAAAATTGTTAATTAATATGAAGTTATTTAATTGGAAAAAGGCTGATAACACTCATCTCCAAAAATATTTTTTTCTCTGTAACAAGAACCAAACACGGTTTCTGGAAGATAATTTGCCTCTCAATCCACATCTAAATTCAGAATTTTTATATCAGGAAAAAATTTCATGTGATGATGGTTTTTGTACTTGCATATATCTCCATCCGTATTATATGTATCTGGCAAAATGACACGCTCTAATAACCGATCCACATGCATGCAGCAAGAAATAAAACATAAGTGTTAAGAAAAGTGAAAAGGAGACTTAGAATGATAAATAAGAATGAATATCTCCACCTGTCTTCTGAATGTTTGTCACTGTAGCAATCACCTTCATTCAATTTCAGGTTTTCAGAAGGTAGTAGCACCGGCAATTCTTCAGAGAAAAATAAGCCTAATTAATGGAAAATTAGAATATATAACAGTTTCTTCATTTTTGAGGTGATTCAAGCTATTTGCGTCAGACAGAAATATCAGTTTGTTGTGTGGTCCGTTTGATCCCACCAAATGATGGGGACAGCAAAGGGCATGAGTCGTGAGCCTTTTGACGAGCATGCCAGGAGTGATACGACACACAGCGCATAAGGGAGGCCCATTGCATGTCCTGGTTGCCTACCTCACACCCGAAATAAAAACCACAACACTTCCTTCTCAGAGGATTAAGGTTTGGTGTTAATGATTTCAGAGTTAATTCTCCACAGATACAACATATTTGTGCTATATACACATTTACGAGGCTTTTTTCTTCTAAACTAATACATACAAAGTACAAACTTTCATAACCTACAACAAGCAGGCGCATCCCACTTCGCCCACTAGCGGAGAAAGGAGGTATTTCCTGAGCAACAAAACAGGCAACTTGAATTTAGCTCAGAGGCTTCATTTAGGCTTGAGGATCTTTCACATGCAGTAAATCTACTAACATAGGACAGCCGGCTTTACTTCCCCTCCAAAGGTAGGCGTACAAAAATTTTCTCCCCTTAAAAATCCACGGCTTCAATTGGGTTTGAATCCGCAAACTTGTTGGGGATTGTCCAATAAGCTAACCATTACACCATCGCCACATTTCAATTGTTCCTGAACAATTACATTAGCAGAATTATTAAATAAAGCTACAAGAAAATAACTAATATACAGTATTTTCAATCATTTCCTTAATTAGAGAATAGCATTAACAAGAAAACTGAACCTGATAGGCAAAATCTGAATTCGTATTTGAATTCAGAGTTCAAGGCTTAGCTAAGAAGACCATTCACATTTTTTGTTACAAAAATACTATTGACCAGTGTAATTTTTAGTTGGTTGCCATCAATTGAAAATCCTCTATTTAATTAACAGAACTTCAAGAGTTCACAATGCTGTGTAGATTGCACACTCCATATAACAGGTAAGAAGATATTACGTTGTATGTCAATACCCATAAATAGATGGAAATAGAATCAATATATTAAGATTTCAGTTTAGGGCAAATTTATGAGTATAGCAGGGCAAATCAATGATAGAAATATTTTTAGATTAATATCATATGAGTTTCGATAGAGGGCCCAAGCAAAAAGTGGTAATAGTCAAAGGTGAGATGAAATAAATATCAATAAAGATTTATAAAATATATCATCTATAAATCATTTATAAAACCATTTGTATTTCACAGAGTAGATTTTTATCAGTATTTCACAATATGGACATAACAAAATTGTAAAAAAACAAAAAATAATTATTCAAATCATTTTTCCACATTAAGCACAAAACAGAAATATTTAGGGAACAGGATAAAAGTCCTTAAAATATTGTTCTCAAAGAATAATATATTGATATAATTTAAATTACCGTCATGACTGAAGCATAATGATGATATAGACGCTGAATAGCGATGAAATTGACACAGACGCTTTTTGTTAAAGCCGTCCCAGATGTTTACATACCCATCTGATCCACCCGTTGCAAAAGTATTGTAACCTGTATGAAAACTGAGAACCAAGCACAATTAAAATTACTTACTATAAAAAGATACTTGCATTAAATACATTATTCACATACCTTATCGCGTTTACAGGATGTATATGTTCAATACCTCCTTCTTTCAATCGATGACATTTGAAAGCATATTTCTTCTTCTGAACTTCTGGGCTTGTATCCAAATATTCAACGGCTACACGACCTTCAATACTACTCAAAACATAACCCTAAAAAACAAGAAAAAGAAAAAGGTAAAGTAAATAAGTGATGAAAATCATACTTCATATTGAAGAGCCAAAATATAAAAATTGTACAAGAAGTACTTGGAGATGAAAGAAGATCTCAAAAATACACCCGTTTGGAATGCACGACAGAAAGGCATTCAATACACAGTGAGTTAAAAAAATATCCACTCCAAAATAAAAGATCGAATGTTAGTCCTGTAACTATTCCAATAACTCACACAGATTTTAATACACAAGGAATCACATTATTTACATATTTCACAAATTACAATTCAAAACATTTCTTCCTAATATTACACCTAGCAAGTCCTTTTAATGTTTAGTTCATATGGTTAAAGATCAAAAGATGATCTTGAATCACAGGCTACTATTGAAATAGGTACGTAATTTAAAAGCAAAATCACAAGTTTCTACTTTGATTACTCAAGAGTTATGTTTACTCTAACCTTACCGAAGGAAACATGGCACAAACCCAAAAAGGAATTTTTCACAAAATAGCTAATAAGATTCTCAATGTTAAATCCCTTATTTAAAAAAAAATGTTTTCATTTTCTAGGGTCCCTGACCATCTAAATATTGCATATCAATCGCAATTCCTGCACATGACTTACAATATTGTGGCATGAATGATAATATCATAATTAAAAAGCTGAAGAATTGAGTATATCAGGCTTCCCAGCATTCAATGACGTTAAAAATTCGAGCTTTGAGCTCGTTGAGCTCGTGAGCTTTGTTGTTCAAATGGCGAGTAAAGATATGTGAGAAAACTTCAAAAATTAGTTGTTTCAAACTTGTCTTCTATCGTGACCATAATAATGCAGCATAACAGGTTATGCGAAACATAGCACTTTTGTAAGTTTTCCCATCAGTCTGTGAGCAGTGCCAGTATCCTTCTTTACTTCCCTACCCTGCCTTTGAGCACATGAGCCTGTTAGCTTTTCCCGTCATTTTTCCGAATGATATAGTTTCCCCTCAGTAGTTTCCAGCTGCTATGACTTTTTTTTTTTCAATGATCCTATTTTTGTTTCAATGAAATATCACACTTACAAGATTAAATAAAAAAGAAATTAATCAATAATTCAATTTTTGAAAAAAGGGAGAAATTCTGGCAAAAGAAGTGAGGCAAGTGAGGGTGGTACAGAAATAGTTCTAAAAAAAGGGAGGAAATTTAGTGGCTGAGAGACCTATGATTTACATCTACACCACATTTTTGAAAATGTAGCAAATATTCTTATTGCTCGCTAAAGATGTGTTTGGAATGTTGTAATCAGGGCTCACTGCAAACATTTTCCTTCATCTCACTATTGTGCCAGGAAGAGGGAAAGTAGACCATCGGTCAAGAAAACTTGCGTGGGTAATACTAACAGATGCTGTACCACCTTCTGTAATTTTGGGTTTGCTCTCCCCCATAATTTCATTGCGACTTCAGCCTTTCTCATTCTCAATGCTTCAATTATATTTTCTTGAGTTTTTAATTTTTATGGGTCAAGCTCTCAATTCCTATCTCAACATTATGTTCCATTAGGTAAAAATAATAAAAAAATATCACGATAGGATATTGAAGTGCACTCGTATCTCTATTGAGAACCTAACCTACTCTTAAATCTGTCTAAGAGGTTTCATGGTAGCAAATTTTTAAAGAATAGAATGTACATTCTCAAAAACAACAACAACAACAACAAAAAACAGACGTGCTTGAAAGCAAACTGTAAATACCTCCCTCAGTAGATATGAGTACTGATTTATTTTGAGTACTTTACCTGCTTATTTGGAAAACAGCGAATACAACGAGTCTGATATTTCAAACTGGATTCACGCCTTTGATGTACATAACCCATATTTCGCAAATCCCAAACATAAACCTTTCTGCCAGCAGTACCAACTACAAATTTTTCACCACACAAACTCATAGTAAAGACCTGAGAAAACAAAAGTACAAGATTATTACATATTAAGTACCATTTGTGAATGTGCAAATAAGTTGCCAAACCGTCTTATCCTTTTGCTTCAATTTATCTTTTAGAATTTGCATTCACACACTTATTTTACATCACAATTAATTGATGGCAAGTAAAATTGTATTTGATTTTCAACCATTTGTGATGGCAGTGTTTTCTTTCCTTCCATATATATGCCAAATAATTAGTTCCATTCAAAATTGTAGCATTGACACCTCTCCCCCATCTTTCTCTGCAAGGAGAGGAAAGGAATTCTCCACAAGGTGAAATTCTAACCTGTCTAGATTGCTCTCTTGAAAACTTTTTAATCTCAACTTTATTAAAATTACTATTTTAA